CACCCCCCCCCCTTTTTCTCTTCCCCTTCTTGCTTGCTTTTTCCAACTTGGAATATTGAGTGGAACGAGGGCATTAGGGAAAACATTTAAAATAAAATAAAAAACTAAGACCATAAGATAAATCCTACAATACTCAGATGATTGGAGATTAGTGCAACAAATTCCACAATCGTATAGCAACTGTGAAGATTAAACAGTGAATCCACTACAATGTCAATGGAGAATTGAGAATTGAAGCATAATGATTATACACATACCTGTACAATCCAACCCTGAAACCGAATCAAGCGATAATGCTCTATCCATTTCCATAACCAAATTCGAGCAAACTTCCCTCCTACAACATCTAAAGGCAGACTCCCGGCAATTATTACCACCTCCATCATTGCATACTCCATTCTTCCCAATTCCACCTCCCGACGACTTTCTCCTCCTCAAAATAGGCACTTGAACTCCCAAGAAATGAACCACCCTCCCATCTTTTTCACTATAAACAGGACACATATGAAACAACATCCAAAAGGGTGTCCCATCCTTCCTATAATTCAACAAACTGATTTCTATAGCCCTCTCCTCTCGAATCGCCTCTCTAATCTCCATAACCGCTCTTCGATTAGTCTTAGGACCCTGAAATACCCTTCCATTCCTCCCAATCACCTCATTCTTGTTATAACCAAACATTTTCAAGAAACCCCTTGAAGCATAAACAATAGGGTGACCACAAATAGAGGGATCAGTAATTGTAAAACTATCAGGCAATTCATCAAGTGCTTCTTTAACCCCATCTGAATATCTAACATTAAATGATTGTTCAATTAAACCCAGTTGTGATTCCATACTGATTCTACTTGTTTTGGCTCAAAGACTGTAACTTTATCACCAAAGGTTATTAACCCCAATCCCATGTGGCAACAACTTTCAGCTTATAATACTATGCCCTTGCAATTGTTAACTTCAGCTTCAACAACAAGAAGAACAAAAAAAGTCATCAATAAACAAGAATACCATAGAAAAAGCACATAGAATTCAATAAACCACACATAATATTATAAGAATATGTATTTAAGAAAGTACAACAAAAGAATATTTTGTGTCACAAGATTAAAGAACTTACATTAGAGTGAAGGCTATTTGAGAAGCAGATTATGGAGCCAAATCAATTTAGTAGGAAAATATCAAGGTATTGAATGAACAAGAAGAATTGAGATATGCCCATCAATCGGTTTTGGTGACTTAAATTATTGTATTATGAAGAAATTGAATACTATATGATTGGAAAGAGAGAGAGAGATAGAACAAGTCTTGAACTAGTCACTAGTCATTCATATAGCAGATTTTTAGAGTATATGGTTACTATTTTGTATTTTCAATTGTGGTTTAGAAATGTGAAGACTTATCTCTAATTATTTTATTTTTATTTGGGGCAAGTGCACCGATAGCTACTTTTAAGTTTATTTAAAAAATATTCATAATTTACAATATATTCAAAGATTAATCAGTTCGTCCAAACTTTATGACTAAGTATCTTAAATTTTTGAACTGTTAATTTAAAATTCAGGATTTAATGTCCTAAATTTTTCAAGCTACTAATTTGAAATTCAAGATTAAGTGTCCTGAATTTTTTAACTACTAATTTAAAATTCAAGACATATCCGAATTTTTGGACTTAATTTTCAAACTTTAGGACACGATGTCTTGAAATTTGAACATTAAGGTTTAAACTTCAGGACGTCGAATCCTTAAGTTTGAGTAAATTGGCTAATCTTTAATACATTATAATAAACAATTATCTTTCTTTAACAGTTTAAATGTAAATTTATGCTAGTTTTAACAATTTTATTAACTATACTATTGGCTATTGTTATGCTATACTATATTTTGTCAATAATGATTGTCCCTATTTGATTGAGTTGTGCCTGTTCAATTTTTAACTTCGACAAGAATGAGGAAACACCAAAGAAAATAAGTGATCAATTTGTTTTTGGTACGCCCATTAAGAAAATACTAAATTCTATATAAAAATACTTAGTATAAGTAAACTATCCTTAATTAAATATTTAATGTTAGGAGTAAGAAAACTTTTTATATGTACATAAGGGTAATTTTATAAAAACAAATTGAATTTTTTCTTAATTATATAAATGGATACTTATTTTGGACCAAAAAAAAAGCAACTTGATCACTTATTGTGGACTTGAAGGAGTACAAAACAAGACTTCGTTACCATTTACCAGCAAAGAAAAGTACACTCAACATCATTATAGAATGCAACAAAGCAAAAACTTTTACCAATAATATCAATGTTAGTACTCCTATCATTTATGGCAAATTTCAATTTAAAATGCCCACTTGCAAAAGTCATTTAATTTTGAAATAATCTTTTGGAAATAATTTAACATGTTTCTGAATTAGTTTACCAGAAAATGTCATTTAGAACATTTGAGTTTTTGCTTTTCAGTTCTGCTGGTTTTTATTTTCTAATTTTTTTTTTTTGAAGAATCGAAATTAATTTTCTTGAAATTATCCATAGATGGAATGCACATAGGTGACACTCCCTTTTTTTTCGTGTTGTTCTTTGGCTGACTGATACTGAATTATTTAAAGACAGATGTCATAAGACTTAAGAGGAGTAGGAGTGTGATAAACACAAGTAAATACATTTAATATATGGCCACAAATTTTAATAAGCAAAAAATAAAAAACAACAAAAGAAGATTGTAGTATTAGGCTGAGCCAATACAACTGTCCAAACTTGTCTAGTTGTGATAGCATAGGACTTATCCACCCACGTGATCAACAACACCCTCTTGTGACATTCTTTTATTGGAAAAAAAAATTTAGGTTAGTTTCGGAGTATTTGTTTTGAAATAATTGTGAGAGAAGTAATTTGGTGTTTTGATTGTTGAGTTTTATTTTTAGAAACAAAAGAGAAATATAAAATGTATCTGAACGAGAAAAAGAGATAATCGTGCAAGAAAACACCACCGTTTTATTCTCTTGAACAAACATACTTTATTTATATCGATATGGACATTTATTCCTACGTTTGATAAAGAAAATATTACATAATATTATTAGAATATATAATTTATATTTGAAAATGAAACACGCATTGAATATCTTAATCAACAATCTGGGTTAGTGACATGAAAGATTTTGACCAGAAAATATCATGAAAGGAAATAAAGAAATATGAGGAAAGGTCATTCTGGATCAGTGACCCTTCTGAATAAATTTATTTTAAATACTATTTCAAATAATAAGTGTGCAGGTCAAGTATTGGGTTTAAATGTTAGGAGGTAGTTGAGCGTTTTTTTACTTTGTTTTGGGGTTAAAGTTAGTCCGATAGTATTTTGTCTTGGACTGTTAGTGCTTTATGTTGTGTTCACATTATTTTTCCGTTTTCTTTAGTGCTATGTCATTATTACTGGTTATTGCTTTTCCATCTATTTTTTGTCTTTTACGATGCTGATATTATTTTTCTGGCTTTTCTTTTTGTTATGGATCTATTATTTCTTTTCGTCTCTTTGAGTAGAGATTCTTTCAAAAACATCTTCTATACTCCTCCGAAATAAGGGTAAAGTTTGTAACATTGCGTACACACTATCCTCCCCGTACCTCATATGCAATAATGCAAAATGAACGGTGGCTTAAAGCCGCATTTACACGTATTTCTATTTTGGATTCTCTTTTGGTTTTATCCGCCCAAGAAGTGGTCCAATTATAAGCCTAGTGAATATTTATTTTCTGTTGTATTTATTTACCATTTTTGTGACATATGAACAACATAAATCAATATGAATTATTCTTCTTATAAATATTGCTTTAACAAGATTCAGATATGCGGAATCTAGTCTAGAAGTTAAAGCCTATTGTTTTTTTTTTGTTGTACAAAATGCTCCATGATAATTAATTAAATTAACTAAAAAAAAGTTAAAGACTCGTAAAACAAGAACGTGCTTTTGCATTCAAACGAAAAGACGCATTACAAATTATATTTTAAAATATATGTTTCCACCCAATCAAATATATAGCCGAATTTAGACTTGTTCAAAACTTCCAAAGGGTCATTTTCCATTTTCAGAGAGATATTGTATTTGAATGAAATACAAAATTAATAAATGCGAAACATTGTTGTATACTTTATTTCGAAAAAAAGTTTTATACTTTATTATTAAAAAAATATTTGATCTCCCCGAATATTTGATAACATTTTTTATTGAAGAGATAATTTATGTGGGGAATCCGTCTTGCTTTAATGTCTTTGTTGTATTGCCACGCCAAAAACAACTATTTTAATAAATATTTAAGTTATATACGTTAATTATTTAAAAAAGTATACTATCAAATATCAATATATTTTATAAAAATTATTTATCACTTATCATATGATATGAATCCATATTATTACTAATTTATAAAGTTAAATGCAATTAGCAATTAAATAATTTGATCCTTTAAATATTTTAATACCATCAGGAGTTCAGAAATATCTAGTTTTGTGACATGGTGATGACTGTTTTGGATGTGACCTTTTTGGGTGGATAAGAATTTTGGCAAAGCAGCAGTATAAATTGAGCAGCAACCAAAACAATAATAATATAAGCTAATTTTGTCTTCTTTTTTTTTTATTTCTCATACGGTATTCGGTATCTATATTGGGGCCCGACTAAATCGGATTCGCTCCGAAAAGTCCCACATTGAGAGTAATTTTGTCAGTTTTATAGTTAGTTGTATTTGGTAGAAGTATAACTAGGACAAGGCACAACTTGCTTTAGAAAATAAGAAAAAGAATGGAAATGATGTTTAAACAGTCACCTCTTTGTGACAGAGATTTATTTAAATTAAGGACCACTAGCACTTTGACTAAAGGAACAGCACCTTTTAAATATTTCTCATTAATTACTTGTTTAGAACACAATTGAGCTGCACAAAATATATCATAAGAATATGACTAACTGAAAAAGAAGTGATACTTTACTAATTTGATACTTCAATCCTGTTTGTTTTTTATACGATATAAACTGCTTCAGCCTTCATACCCAAAATAGTTATGTAGAGAAAAAAAGGTGTAGATTGTTATAAAATAAAAGTAATTTAATAGAACTTAAACAAGATAGAGATAGAAAGAAGGACAAGTTTTTCTTCTTCAATTGTGTGTTTTTATCCGTCCGTTACAAAGTTTTTATATAGGCATAAAAAGTGAAGAATCACTATTGTAAAATAATGAGAGAAATGGCTACTACACAGCAAATGTAATGGGGTTCAGCATAGGCAGCCATATCTATTATTTTCAACTCTCCCCCTTGGATGTTCATGTTAAAAATAAAAATTTCAAGTGAAAAAAAAAAAAGAGCACGTAGTTATTTTGTTACATGCATTGCTTGTTGCCTCATTAAAAACCTTACCAGGAAAACCTAGTGGGACAAAACCTTGCTTAAGGAACAACGAGTGCAGAGCGTATTTACTTCCCCTGACGAAAATATCACTTAAAGTCTCGAAGACGACGCATTCCAATCTTGTATATCAGCTTCTCAAATGTTGAGGTTGGTAATGCCTTAGTGAACAGATCCGCCAAATTATCACTTGAACGAACTTGTTGAACATCTATTTCACCATTTTTTGAAGATCATGAGTGAAAATAATTTCGGTAAAATGTGATTTATTCTTTCTCTTTTGATGTATCCTCCTTTCAGTTGAGCTATGCATGCAACATTGTCTTCATACAATATTGTTGGAATATTCATTTTCGAAGAAAGACCACATGTTTCCTGAATGTGTTGAGTTATCGATCTCAACCAAACGCATTCTTAGCTCGCTTCGTGAATGGCTATTATCTCTGCATGATTTGAAGAAGTAATAACCATAGTTTGTTCCGTTGAATGCCATGATGTGGCTGCACCTCCACATATAAAAAAATAGCCTGTTTGAGATCGACCTTTATGTGGGTCAGACAAATATCTTGCATCTGCATAACCGATCAATGATGACTTGGATTCGTTTGAATAAAATAAACCCATATCAATGGTCCCTCAGAGGTATATGAATATATGCTTAATACCATTCCAGTATCTCTATGCTGGAAAATAACTAAATCTTGCCAACAAGCTTACCGAGAAAGCTATATATGGTCGAAAATTATTGGCAAGATACATTAATGCCCCAATTGTACTAAGATATGGTATTTCGGCACCAAGAAGCTCTTCATCATTTTTATGAGGTCGGAATGGATCTTTCTTTATATCAAGTGATCACACAATCATCGGGGTACTCAATGGATGTGCTTTATCCATATAGAATCGCTTTAAGATCTTTTCGGTGTATGTTATTTGATGGACAACTATTTCATC